AATCGAATCTCTCCATTTTAGTCCAAAAAATAATTATAAAATTATAAGAAAGTCCATTCTACTTCAGCTGCAAGCCAGTTAAGGGGTAAGTTAGCATGTTAACAGAACTCTGAATGGATTGTTTACGCAAATATTCAACTTTTGGATGTCTAAATTTCTTGTTTCAGGCTGTGCCACCAGTAATCCACCGTGATCTAAAGTCTGCAAATATATTGCTCGACCACTTCATGAGAGCTAAGGTAAGAATGGTGATTTTAGAAACATTTGATCTTTTCATGATTAACCCATCTAACAAAACATTTAGCAGATTTGACAAATCTGATCTTTTTCATGGATTAACAGGTTGCAGATTTCGGGTTGTCCAAAGAGATGGTATTTAACAGAGTAAACTCTAGTCTGAAGGGAACGTATGGTTATATGGATCCTGCATACATTTCCACGAACAAGTACACAATGAAGAGCGATATCTACAGTTTCGGTGTCATAATCTTCGAGCTCATCACCGCCATTCATCCCCAACAGAATCTGATGGAATACATCAACCTCGTACGTAACTGAGCCGTAGTGATGTCGTCTTGTTCCAATCAATGTCCACAACTTTTGAACACTCTGTTTTCCTGTTCACAGGCTTCGATGAGTACAGATGGGATAGACGAGATTCTCGACCAGAAACTGGTGGGGAAATGCAGCATCGACGAAGTGAGGGAACTTGCAAAGGTTGCAAACAGGTGCGTACATAAGGTACCCAGAAAAAGACCATCCATGGGAGAAGTAACACAGTCCATACTGAAGATAAAACAGAGGAGGTCTCGGGGAAGACAAGACACGACCTCGTTAGATGGGGAAGATCTAAGCCGTGTACTTAGCCGAATAGAGGACCAACACATTGAGCTGAGAACGTTAGCTGGTGTTAAAGAAGATGATCAAGAAAGGGACAGTCCATCAGAGACATAGAATTCTTGTACATAAACCACTTGAAATCTCTGTTTATTTGCAATAACATAAACATATATGGCAGTCTAAATATCGTTTTAGGACAAAACACAACAAAAAAGATGAATCAAGAACAAACCAAACCACATCAAAGTTGGTGATCTTTCAACAGGTTAGGCAGGTTAAAATCATATCCAACCGGCTGCTCCTCAGAAGCGGCACGATGTCCCGAGCCTGTGTCTCAGCTTCTGGTCCGAACGCGATGAATTACGTCTGGTGAAAGCTGGGTTTAGCATCTTCTGGAAGATCTCCAAGTACTGCAGCCACTCCTCTTCACTCATATCGGAAAGCTTCACGAAGCTACTGCTCCCGAGTGACTCCTTGTTCAGCGACTGCTGTCTCAATGATCTTCCTGCAGATTGGCCTTTTCTGGGGATTCCATGACAGGTAAACCCACTCTTCCCTCTATCCTTGTTCTCTTTCATCGACGTGGGAAGCCTCGGACAGGTTGGAATTCGAGATATGCCCGACTTTTCGGATTTGCCCTTGTCCAGTTCCTCGAGTTCATCCAGCTCAAACAGCGTGTTTGATGAAGCAGAAGCTTTTGACTTCTGTTCTTCACAATCGGAGTCAGATTGGTCCCGATTGGGAAGTGTGTCCCTCAAAAGTGTTCTTGCTTCCATGCACAATAACTCGAGCTCGCTCGGCTCTTCTTCATCCCCACGGAACTCTCTGCTCATCATCTCGCCGATCTCCGCAAGACAGAGGCCAAAGACTGCTGCTTTCTTGAGAAACGTCGTGCAAAGTACCAAGACTCTGAGGCATGCTTCCCTGATCATAGGGAGCTCCATTCTGAGCATGTCAGAGTCTCGAAACGGGTCGAGGTTAGCTATGTACTCGAGCTCTTCCTCGGAAAACGGAATAGATGATTGTGGCCAGTGGATCCACTCAAAGTACGGGTCTTCCAAGTTTTCCGGTAAGCAAAGGCCGTGATCTATGGGAACGAGCTCAACTTGACTAAACCCTGCAACATCTTCAAGTTGCCTTACCAGAAGGTTTCCTGCATGTCTATCCGTGTTCAAGATCCGAATGTCTAAAATCCCGATCTTGTGCACCGCAGACACAGGGAACCCAGAAGTCCCGTAGTCACTGGCGTCGAAATCGTGCGGGATATACTGCTGCAGCGAAGCAATCTTGCCGACCCTGTCTCTCATCTGGTGCTTGTTTATGTTCACTCCTTCATTGAGGTTGAAGATTCTGTGGGTGACTTTTACAAGTGCTGTTGGTGGCACATTAGCAAAATGGTCATGATCCAGAAGGTAAGCTGCCACTTCTCTGAATCCGGTCTCTCCCACACGAACTGAACGTTTAAGGCCAGGCTGCCCGAGCGATTTCCCGACAAACCCTTTTGGGTTATTTGGAGCATATGGCTCCTCGTCCGTTGGTTTTACAATGGCACAGTTTTCACCTCTTCTGTCCCTGAAGTAGTATGCACCACCAAGCCCGCTACAGACAGGAACAGGATCGATCCCCAGCTCCATCGCTTTTTCTATCTCTTTGGCAAGGCGCTTCGTCTTAGAAAAGCAGTTCGAGTATCCTAATATCTCGATCGGACAGCTAAAGTCTCTCTGCTGGAGATCTTTACTAGTGGGTGAGAGACAAGGGCTAGATGAGCTTCTGTGCATCAGATTACGAGTGAGGAGAAGAGGAGAATCGTGTCTGACAGTGCTGAGATCGTTCTTAAGCACCACGTCCCCGCAAGTGAGGGATTTCTCTTCGGTTGGAATGTTCAGTGCCAGCTGTACCCTCCTCTTGACGGTATGAGCATTATCCCTCCTGTCAAACTCTATCCCCAGAACACAACCAGTATCGGTCTGAACAAACACACGTCTTGTCCCGGAAAATGTCCTTTCCATTCTCCTGTTTGTGCAGTACTCACCACTAATGGCTCCTTCGATGCCTGCAGTTACCATTTGTGTGTGAACGGAACTTTCTACCTCAGGAGACATGCAACGAAGAGGAGAACAGGAATCTTTTGCTGCCATAAAACAGCGAGGAAATTGTCAGCTTCTCTCTCGAGCACACGCCAAAAGAAAGCGCCGCTGGAAGTGGGAGAGAGAAGTTCTTGTCGCAGACAATCATAACCATCAGAGTTGAGACTGGTCCATATCCATCAGCAGAACATCCGAGAGGAACATCTGGAAAAAGACGAGATTTGAAGCTTGGAGTGGCCGCTACATTGCAGAGGCGACCGCCATTCTGGTCATACCAAAGCAATTTATAACTGTCAGAACTGTCAACCGAGACAAGTCACAGAACAATTTTTTTGAGCAAAGGATTTGAAAAGCATTAAAAAAACATCTCAACTCATCAGAATCTCACCTGTTAATGGATTCCATTTTTTATAAGAACAGATAAAAAAATAAAAGTACAGATGTTCAAAAACAACTTTCAAAGCACAAACACAAAATACCAACTGTAGAATCACATCAACAAGCATAACTCAACTCAGAGATCCCATCCTTTCTTAGGAAGCCTTGTATCCAGAATACAATCCAGTTTTTTCACAGACAAAGCACAAAATCATTGAACAAGATACCTCATATGGCTTGATACCGGCGAAACCAAGAACTCTCCCATAAGCAAACCCTACAAGGGGTCACCGAGATTCGAGGCACAGATGACTCAATCCTTTATGCAAGACACCCTAAACAAACAAGACAACATTTCAGACACAAGACCAGGAAAGGAGCAACACTAGCTAACTTTCTCCGATCAATTCGGGGCAAAGGTCAAAACATGGGGTGAATCTCACAGGCTCAGACCACTCAGAGTAGTGAGGGGCCAAAGAAGACAACAAGAGCAGTTCAGATATACTGTCAAGGATAAGCATCAAGATTAAAATAGGTTAAGAGCGCCTTATCTTCCACGGAATATCAACATCGGATCTATAACCGAGTCAAACCAACTTAATCTAACCCCAATTACTTTAATCATTCTCAGAATCTAATCACTTTTTTAAATGGCAACCTTATCGAAAGAGTAAGAGATAGGACAGTCATTCATAATAAACTATTCAACAAGCAAGTTACTTTCCAGACAACAAGTGCACAAAATTAAATCCTAAATCAGATCATTGCCTCTAATCTCACATGAACACCTCTTTGCCTCTTCTGTTCATTTAGAAAACACAATCTTACCCTGAAACCTGGGGAGAGAAGCAAGCGACTCATAAATCATCACAACCAGCCACTGTATGAAAACACACGCACACGCACATGTATATACAGATATATACATGATCCAGTCCCTCGTTTTACCAGCATCGCATAATCAAACCATCATCAGGCATATATAGATACATGCACACACACCGAGTTTACACGTTGTGGGCATCTGTAAAAATCTTGATCTTTCTCCAGAAACAGCGAAATTTCCCGACTTTTCCCGAGAAACGATCAGTATAATGAAGATTTGCCGGAGAAAACTCACCGAAGATCATCTGAGATCGAGAATCGGACGGTGGAAGGCACCGCCGGACAGAAGATCGACGGCCGGAAATAAATCTCCCTCTCTCCCGTTCCGCTTTCGGGAGACTTCCTTTCGTTTTCCGGCAGAGAAACTTGAGGGGTTTAACGGATAAAATTAAATAAAATTGGATTAAAATATAAAAGCTTATTAAAAAAAGGTACAAAATTTCCGATCAGCTTCCAGGATTTCTTGCAACCATGGAAACTTTTTTATTTTTTGGGTATCATTTCCAGTTGAAAGAAGAAGAACATTGAGTAGACAGAAATTGTCTGGATATAATGACACGTAGCATTTGTGGGTCCCGCAATCCATGGGGTCTACAGTGACGTGGACGGTAATGATCGCTCGTGGTTTTAACTTTTAAGGTTTCTGTTTTTAACCGTACTGGTCAAAGTAACGCGTAAGATTTTAAAAAATGAAATTAAGTAAAAAATAAATTAAGAACCGAAAAAAAATCCACGTTTAATTAAAAGTCATATGTATAGATTTCCACTGATTCTCTTCTTTGGAATAACAAAATTTCGACCGTTAACATCAAAATTACCAAATATATGGTATGTTTTGGGAATAATGCTAAGGAGGGCATATTATTTCACATCATTCTAACCAAAATAGTCCAAAAAATAATTATAAAATTATAAGAAAGTCCATTCTACTTCAGCTGCAAGCCAGTTTTTTTCCTTTTGACTTTGTCACCAAGAAACATTATACAACACAACAAGCTCCATAAATACACCCTCATCATCCACATGAAGCCAACGAAATATTTACAGTATTGAAAAAAATATATAATTTATATTTACGTGGAAATATAAATGTCTTCGAAGCATCCAAAAAGAGAAGTAGATGACGAGGAGAAGAAGAAGAGGGAGAGAACTTCTTCTTCGTCGAGAGGGTTTGGGAGATGGGTCGGCTGCTGCTTCGCTGAATCCAACGGTGAGATTCGGTCGGAAAATGAAACGGCGGCGTTTGATCCAGAGGCCAAGATTGTTGAAGTCTCCAACCATTTTTCATCGCTTCACAAAATTAATTTAGGATAGTTTTCTTTTATTTTCTTAAATTGTTATTGCTGCATAATTATGTATTATGTACGTACGTGAGAAGTATGTTGTCGTCCGAAGAACACTTGCCCATAGGTTCTGTTATGTTCTGTATTTGATTTTCATTTTTCTTTTAATCCTAGTTTATAATTATAGATTCCGTAACTTTGGTTTTCCTTTATAGTCATTTTTTGATGTTTCTTAATTTTAATTAATAAATAGGTATAAACAAACAGAAAGATTTGATCGTAAAAACATGTAAATTTATTCAAAATATTATATATACTTATCATAATTTTTTAAATTAGTATAAATCTCCATGTAGTATGTTTTGGATTTTAGGCCCTTTATATGTATACGTAATAGAAGCCGAGGCATGTATTTATCTTTTCTATATTACACATTTGGGCCCATTAAATTGGCCCATACTAATTAACAGGCCCATGATGAGGCTTTTAGCAGGCTTACCTCATGATGAGGCTAATTAACCCCGTTGAGATAATGGAAAAAAAAAACATGACTCCTTGTGACCGAGCGAATGTAATAATATGCGGTAAAATGCAGAGCTATGAGATAAGCAGTGAACTAAGCTTTTGAATACGACGAAAATTCCATGTTATGTTATTCCTTAATTGGCAATATATATATATATATATATGTATATATATATATTATACACACATACAATAGCAATGAAAAGATATCATACTATCACGTTTTATATAATATTTATATTTTCCTTTTATTTAGTATATTAATACATCCATAGATATTACGAAAGCACAATTGTAAAAAAAAAATATTTTTTTGAATCGGCATATCTGACTGTGTGTGTTATGAGATACAAATGGAAAGCAAAAAGTTTGTAACTATGGAGAATCCTGTGACTACCTACCCTTACAAACGGAGACGAACTGGTCACCACCCGCGCCTAACAGTCTCTATGGACCTCAGTCCGCCGGACCTGGCTACCAGGCGCGCCAAACGCTCGGGCCATAGTTGGGCTTAGGCGTCTGCAGGTCAAACTCCACGCCCACGCGCACGAGCCTGCAACACACGCAGAGGAGGTAAATCAGCCCATTATGATGGGCTTACAGGCGAGCAGGTCAAAGGCAAAGAAGAACGATGAGAGGATTCGAACCCTCCACCTCAGGGTGATGCATCCTGCTCTCTTACCGCCTAACCTGATCCCGAAAAAAAAAAAAAAATTTTAGAATTTGATTTTTGATAAAATATATATTTTTTTAAAAAAACATGGACTGAGTGGTGGGCGACTCGGAATTCGTGGAATCACCCATTAAATATATTTTAAATTAGAAAATAATTATTGGGTCTCTCTTGTATAATGAAGTCCTTTTCTTGGATCACTCGATCGGCACTCTTCCATAGCACACAGCGAAGAGATGTGCTGAAATTCTGTCACCTTTTCTCCCATTGTTTGTTCAATCCCTTGAAAGAAAACATTAATTCCATATATAAATTATGATATCTTTGGAAACAACCAATGATTATTTTTTGTTTTTTGGAATATGGGTTAAAGGGTGAAGGTCCATTTCCATTTGCTCCAAAATGATTGCACAATGGAAGAGTTCTGGTTGGGGTTTGAACACACAAAGTAGTAGCTTTCATCACCCCCCATTTATACATATACATACATATATATTCCACTTGTGGAGTTCATGTAATGGGGTTTGTGGAGAAAGTTGGTAAACACTGAGCCAAAACCGAATTAAAAACGTTTCAACTTATAAAAAAAATGTAATTTTGGAATCCAGAAAAAAAAAAAAAAAATTATTGATTAGAAACCAAACCACATTTTTGTGAAGGTCTTGTCTTGTAAGAATAAAGAGTGGAGCCCCCAACGCATTTAACAAAATACATCAACATCAACATTGCGTTATTTGCAAGTTACTCTATTGTCCAACAATTTAAGAGTGGGATTCGAGGAAGAAAAATGCAAGAGGATTTTATCATATAATAAGTGAATAGCCGACAACATAAGAGATCGCCATATCATGTCCCTACTCGTTATATATATTACATAAGAGTGTGGCATTATTAAGCTACCAAAACTGCAAGGCCATGAGGACCCGAATCACAGTTTTTTCAGACCTTCAAAAGAAGCTCTGAAATCTGTCATCTTTACAATGTAGCTTCAGTGTCTCCTGCCATGGAAGCTCTTCTCAATCTATACACCAAACCGAACCCTAATCTCTTTAGAGTAGTATCTCCAGACTGGTTCCCAGATACCATAACACTCCATTTCAACGGCCACAAGCTTTCCCCTGGGATTTGGATCAATCAAGAACCACCATTCTTGATTCCTGGCACTATAGGAACATGCTTAGTCTTGTTGTTCTCAAGGGTTCATCCAACAACTGCAGACACTCATGTGGATTGGCGTAGAAGTAGTCTTCTTCCTTTGGTTTGTCGGGAATGACTAGCCGCTTCTTAGGGCTTCCCATCCGATCCTCGTGAACTTCCTTCACCGTGGACGAGAACTCGTCCCAGCTCAGCAATCCTTCCGTGTATTGATCTATCAGGTTGACTAGTAGCTTCCGGTCTAGCAGAATTGTCTTCTTGAACCCCAAGAATCTGGCATATTGTTTTTGGTCCCCGGATGAATGTTTAGAATAGAATAACTTGTGGCCGAAATGATGAAATTAGACGAGAATAAAGTGTGTCATTATACCGACCTACGATGACCTTCCACAACTTTGGCCATGTTGCCATCGTATGTTGGAACAAATATATCACTTTCAAGAGAGACGAGGTAGTCCAAAGCCGCCATCTGGGATGAATGGTTCTGGAAAAACTTCAGATCAGAGGGTTCGAGTAGAGTTTCTTTCCTGACCTGCTTTGATCAATTTAGCAAAAGAGAAGGGAAACGACAGCTGATTACAGTGATGAAAGAAAAGAAGTTGTGAAATTTGCAAAACTGTGGATATTGCTTTCTGCTGCTAAGTAACTAACCACATTTGGAAAAGCCTCTGCCAAAGCCTTCATTCTTCTTTCGCCACCGTATATCTCCCCAGCAGCTATGTAAATCTGAACATTCCGGTCAATACCCAACGCATTTAGGGCAAGAGCTGTTTCCTCGGGTGTCAGAGGGCAAAGGCCGTCTTTCCTCTTTAGCTCAGAGTTAATCACTTTCTCCTTCCACCAAGGATAAGCATATCTAACAACAAAAACAAAAAGAAGACGATCTCAAGCCAAATTTTCCACAGAAGAGTTTGAAATGGTATCAAAAGCGAGAGAGTTCTACCTCATTCTTGTTAATTCTTCTTCTTCATCAGGGTTGCAACCGTGAGAGCAACCTGAGAAAGCCAACATGTCCATTTCATAACGAAGATGCAGGACCAGAAAGGGTCCTTTCTCTCTCAGAATCCTGACTACTCTTCTACCCAATTCCTCGATTTGGGGAGTAAACCTAAGTGCATTGAAATTTACTCGGCATCTCAGCTTCTGAATATCCAGAGACAGTCCATTGTTTGCAAGCCGTGTATCGGTTTTGTTCAGATGAACAACTTTATACTTCTTCACCAGGGGAAGAATCTGTTTCCAAATCACTCTGAAATTAGTTCAAATAACGGACAAAGAGGATTGGGTGTGTAAAGCTGATAGACATAAAAGAGCAACCCAGAAAGGTAAAATGAAGATTAATCTTTGACTTGGTGGTACAACCAGAAAAATTACCTGATTTGAATAGTATGAAATGTCGGACCAACTGATAGGAGGAAAGGAATAATACATCCCAAGCTCGAACCTTCTCTTGAGCCTCGGAGGTAGCTCTTTGAGTATACGCACTTCGTCTCTTAAGGAAGTTATGAAATGATCCACATCGAATATGTCTTGAAACTCGCTGCCGGCATGAAACGAAATAGAAACATCCCTTTCTTTAACACAGTCAATTATGAAACCAAAGAAATTCAACAAGAAGCTTAAGTGTGAGGATGGATAAAGTACCTTGGATCGCTCCAAAACGAGGTTTTGTCTAGCTCCGGCACAATAAGCGTGACATTCATGTATCTTGCAATGGTGACCATATCACATATCTGAAAGAGCCAAACAAGACAAAAACAGAAAGTCCAAAAAAAGTCATACATCATTTGAAGATAGATATGATTCTGCAAAGGAGCATGACTTCCCAAATCAAGAAACAAAGCTTACGTCTCATCTTACCGCTGCTCTCATTTGGTTGAGCCCTCCATTGCACGAAACCATAAGATAACCATTGTTCTTGTATACCCCTGTTGTAAGAAAAAGACGCAAACTTTTTTTTTTTTAGAAATCCTGACAGTTTCTCCTGAACAAGCAAAATACTGATTGAGATAAAGCTAAGTGATCACCAAAACCAAACAAAAAGGTGATCATCCATGATCATCATCAAAGGTAAAAGGGGCGAAAAGGGGCCTCAAAACAATACTAAACATCCCCGGTTTCTTCTCCGGTGAAACTGAATCACGCCCACCGACACGGCTATGAACATGATAACTTCAACATATACATCAGAAAGGAAACAACAAGAACTCACTTTTAGGCGGCAAGGCTATTTTCATAGGAAGAGATGCCGTTTCCGCAGCAACAGGTAAATCATGGTGATTGAAACAAGAAGGCCAGCCTTTCAACAATCTCGGCCCCCAAAACTCTCCCAGTGCCATCAGATGAACCACGCAACTCCAAAGCAACAAAATCGTCACAGCTCGGATCATCCATAGCTTCATACGAGACCTCGAAACCAAATAACTCCTTAGCTTCTCCGCTTTGCTCTCTCCTACGGAGATGCCCTTCACTTCCCAGAGTTTTCTATGGTAAATAAACTTCTCCGCCTCAGACATTTCGGGCACCGACACGAATTCTCCCAGGTTTCAAGAAACCCAGAGTTCTCAGACACAATTCATCGAACAGGTTCCGGTCCAAGCCTAGAGAAGGAACCAAATCTTCAGAGATTTTATCTATTTCAAATATGAAATCAGATCTATGCGGCAATATTACACTTTGAAAAATCTCTGCTGCGATAATTAATCTAATAACACCCAGAGATGGAATCTCCCGCGCAAGACAAGGCAATTCTGAGAAAATTAATTACGCCTCGAAAACACTGTTTTTTTGCGCTTAATCGGCGCGATCTTCGCCTTAAACCCACGAAACCTGATTCACCATCTTAATCCATAAAAAAATGTTTCGATTCTCTACAAAAAAAAAAACTCAGCCTTTGACCTCCATTAAAATAAAGCCCAGAACAAGGGCGCCTTTCAACCACCAAATCAAAACCCAACCAAAAACTATCAGGAAGAGCAAAATCCCAGAAACGACGAGGCTTCGACCAGGGTTAAATCACCGAATGCAGGCAAGAGAACGATGAATCTCGGCAATGGAGATCCTCGAAGCCCCGAAAAGTTTAGGGCAGATGCGCAGATGAAGAGGATGGGCTTTGGGTAAACGCTCGTGTTCTTGGGGAGAATCTCCGACCAGATCCCCGACACTGACCACCGGAGAACTGGATCGGAGGGGTTGGGAGGAGATCGGAACAGAAAAAGGGTCAGACAAAGAAGCCGCAAGAGAAGCACTTTACAACTACAAGGGAGAAGAAAAAGACGGTCCTTTTATGACCGTTCGGGGGAAGCTCGTCTCTGTGTCGTTGTTGGACAGTTGTGGCTTTCTTCTTATAGCTCTCAGTAAACAGATTAATAAAGAAAAAATCCCTAATTTTCCTGAAACCAATTATCTCTTTCTATATCACAATGTATTTCATTTGATGTTAAATTATTAATCACATTAACCATCAGATTATGAACATATTTGATTACAGAATACATAACCCATTTGTGAAGCTGTGTTTTGATCGTGTAATCCGTATGTCGGCGCATATATATTTATGTACATATAATCATTTTTAATTCTTTGCGATATATGAAAAAAATGTAAAAAAAAAAGGCTTAAAATTTAAGTTTTGAAAATGATTAAAAAAACCCCATTAAATGTGACGATTTTGTGGGTTTCTCTCTCTCCTAACATTGGACAAAGGGATCTTTCAATTAATTAATATAGGTAGGTCCCCAAGTATGCATATATATATATATTATATATGTACATGGACCAACTCTATTCAATATTGTTCACGATATCTGAAAAAAAAAGAAATTAAATAGAAAGTAACGCTATGTCTTTTATGAATGGGGATATCAAATAAAAAATTGATATGTAGGGTTAGGGGATAAGAAGCAATCTAACCGACATTCTGAATAATAGATATTTTTTTTGTTTATTTTTGCATAAATTCAATCTAATTACAAAGTGGGTGGGTGGCTTTATGATTAAAGAAATTATAATGTTATAAAATTTTATTATGCACACGCGTAAGTATATAAATATAAATTGAATTTACTATTAAATTTCTAATTATATACTATTATTCGATATAGATTTAATTTATATATGTTATACGGCTGACCATTTGCATCACATATCATTCCGAATAGGGATTTTTTATATATTTTATATCGGTTGTTGGTTACAAGTTATTAATCATATCTCTTGTCCGAGTTTGCTGCTCGAAAATGATTGTTAAGCACACCAAATTTGTTTTTTTCCATCATATTTTTATATGAATTACATATATATA